AATTTACGCAGCTCATTTACACACTTTTCCTGAAGATAGAAGCGTTTGTTGAATCTGACGTGACATGTTCGTACGAACCCTTTGTTCGAACAAAAGAAAGAGAAATTTAGGATAAGAATACGAACATGTTTTTGCATGAGGCCCATTGTTCTGGCATTTGTAACGTCATCTTCCAGATTATTCCATAATTTAATTCCCTGGACTGAAGTACTCCGTTCCTTCAAACTGGTTCTAATTTTAGGTCTCACAAACAACTCTATCCCCTTCAGATTGTAACAGCTTTTTCTTTTAATGAAATGTAATTGGATGTTTGAAGGTTATACTTTTATGGGCCAGCCAAATCATAGACCTTCAATAACTTCATCTGATGGAACAAAGCATTTGATGGATGTCTGTAATGTTTTCTGATAATAATTCTTATAGCTCTTTTCTGTAAAATAAAAACAGGATTTGTTATTGTTTTACACACTTTTCCCCAAACATCAACACAATAAATTAAGTGTGGAACAATTATTGCATTATACAACATAAACAGGGCTTTATCATTGCATAAGTCCTTTGTTTTGTACAATACCACAATGGATTTGGCAATTTTTGTTCTTAAATGATTTATGTGAGGTCTCTATATCAGTCTTTCATTAATGATAACACCCAGAAACGTCACCTCATTGACTCTACAGTTCTCAATACCATCATTGTTCACATAATGGACAAAAGTAGCCTTCTCTAAAGCTTTATTGTTGTTTTCTTTTCTAAGTCAACGTAAAAATAAAATAGAGTTCCCTTTATCTTTAGCATTTCCCCTACTATTATCCAAGGAGGGCAGCCTGTTCTGCCTATCAGGGAGCAGAAACTGTAGCTGCATACGTGGTTTTAACGATGCATCATCAAAGTAGTGCTCCGCTACCCATCCCCAACTCCCCTGAAGAAAACCACCAGCATTACTAATGTAGCACTTTGCTACAGCTAACACCCACCCTCCCTGCCCGACAGCACCCTGCTAAGGCCAGTAAAGTAAAAGAAACACTTATTTTCAAATTTAGTCAAAGTCTGATCTTTAAGACCACCTACTCAATGGATGAAGACCCCAGTGCCCAGTAAAGATAAATAAAGAGCCATGATGTTCAGGGCTAGTTAAGAATGCTTCTCCGAACAGAACATGGTGGACCTAATAAGGTCACAATTAGGAATGCACCGATATGAAAACTTCAACAGATATCGATATCTGATATTATTGGTGTTATGGCCGATAACCAATATTTACCGATACTACAAACTAGGGTTGCACCGATAATGAAAATTTCAGCCGATATCTCTATCCAATATAATTATTGCTGCTATGGCCGATAACCGATATTTACTGATATTACACAAACACACAAATTATTTAAATACATATATGCACAAACACACTTGTCTTTTTTTTGATACAGTAAATAAACGACCAGACCTCTGACATGGCTCTGCTTCAGTTATTCTTGCCTGTGCAGCATCAATATCAGTATCATGATCAAACAGATACCACTCGACCAAATATTTTGCCTCCCAAAACAGAAACAAAACTAAAAAGTGGGAAATCAATATTGAAAGTTAATATTGGCCCAGTTTTATATATCGGGCTGATATCGATATTCTAAAAGAAGACAAATGTGGGCCGATACCGATGTCAATGACGATATGTCGTGCATCCCTAGTCACGAATGGTTTCATCCCAACTCTGAATATCTTGGTTTTCAAAATGTTTGGTCTCACTCATCCCTCCGATTTACTCGTGTTTTATTCTTGTCCRTTTTGATGCCTTTAAGTAAAAATGTAATCATTTTAATGTCTGCCACCTCCTGTACATATCCTGCATCACTGTCACTGGCTTCATCACACCTGGGCTCCTGGAACAGAACCACAGTCCTTCTGTAACATGTGGAAACTTTCTCTAGATTCACTGCAATTTAAGCCTTCTCCACATCGGTGGAGACTGTTTTCACAAAACCAAACTGCTGCTCATTCATCACCTTATAAATGCAATTAAGATCCAAAAATTCAAAAAAGGGCACATCCACTGACTGCTCCTTCTTACAGACCAATTTTAAACCAGACAAAGCCAGGTCTGGACATAACTGAGTTTCTATTGTCTTGACTGAACAGAAATTTAAACTACAACCATTTTTATGTGCCCTTTACATCTCCTAATGTGACTGCAGCTTCCCACTTTCTCTGATGATCTGATATTTTCACTAAAAAAGGATATTTGCATATAAATCTGTACTATATGCTGAAAACACTGATTCTTAAACATTAAAAAAATATGAAGTGAGAAAAAAGTGCTGCAACACAAAATCTTAGAAACAATGGGCCTCATGCAAGAACATGTTCGTATTCTTCTCCTAAATTTCTCTTACTTTTGTTCGTACAAAGGGTTCGTACGAACATGTCACGTCAGATTCAACAAACTCTTCTATCTTCAGGAAACGTGTGTAAATGAGCTGCGTAATTTCCACCCCCGCGCTGCGCAGGCGCAGGT